GAGACCGACAGACGAGGAGACTGAAGACGCGGTGAGAGACACACAGAGTGGCCCAAAAATGATTGGTAGAACAGGCACACGCATAAACGGACGGCATAATGACGAGGACCGTGAGCCAGAGTATCCATTCTCTGAAGATGGGTAGGCGAGGCAACTACCCGAAACGTCAGGCTCGTAACAAACCTCTCCCGGTGAACGCTTCTCTTTCTTCTGAATTAACAGAATGTTTTGCGTCTACTCTGGTTGCAAAAAGTAGGCGTACATCTCCTCGATTGTAACATAAACGACCTAGCTCCTAACTAAATACTGATTAGTGTCCCATTTCCAAAGAAAGTAATAAAGCCCACCAATCCCAGTGTTTAAAAGAAGATGCTATTCCGCAAAGTCTCCTTTCAAGGGGATGCAGCAACTGAACTCCTAAGAAGACGCTTTGACCAAGCTGTGTCACGAACCATGCCAGCAGTAAGAGTTCGGGTATTATTCTCAAACAGCACTGTCATTCACGGCAAAGGTAAGGATAGGCTATCAGCTCAGACCACCACCATTTGCATCTACTCATTAACTTTCTCCTGCAGAGCAGGTTATATCTGCCGCACGAGTCGGCGCCTATCCAAAAAAAAATAGTGGAGCATCTCCTGGCATGGCTGAGAAAAGGTGAAGTGAGGGACGTAAACAGCGGCCATTTTCGTCCACATTGTTAATTTCGGACATCGCGTGGACCAAAACAAAGCCTTCTGGATGATTTATAAGGTCCCACCAAATTATCCGAAGTCCGTGGGCCAGCGCCTGCTAGCAAACGCAGAAGTGACTGCAATGAAGTTGAGGAGGCCAGCCTTGTGTGTAAGAAAGAACCTCCTGCAAGTTCCGCTCCAGGCATGGCCCACGGTCATTTAGCTGCATGCACTCGTCCGCGCTTTATTTGTCTCCCTCCCTCGTCCCCGGGACTGTCTCCACCGAACACTACCCTCAAAACTAGCCTTCTCTTATCGACCCCTTTTCCTCATTCCCACGAATCACTTGTATGAAAAGACGAACACATTTTAACATGTACCCCGTTCCTATATAAGTGTACTGGCCCGATGAGAATTTATCGAAAGCTTACGTATGCTCGCCAACTCCCCTTCTGAATTCCCTGATGGGAATTTTTTGCAACAATAATAAATAAGGTTCCTGTTAGGTCTTCCTAACATCAATAATAAAGTTAGCACCCGCGTGGATTAAAAACCCAAAGATTAAATTATTCATGTGAATAGGATGGGAAATTTACTTAAAAAGCAAATCTAATTAGAAAACTTTTTAAAAGCAAAGGATATTTAAGGAACGGAATGCATGCTTCGTGAAACTTCGATATGCGTTCGTAAACACATAGTTCTAGATTTGCTTCCCAGGAACTTCCTAAACGGACATATTTATGACAGACCTCTCTGCGCGGGCTTTTGAAACTAAGTTACCATATTTTCTACTTTCCATTCTAATGGTAATTTGTTATATATATATATACTTTGGTTCACCTATTAGACCTATTATGAACCGATTTTTACACCTTCTCGTGACGTCATATATGAATGACATTGGTATCATCTTGAAGGAAGTCCAATTTTGAGTAAACTTTGTAACTCATTCAAGGACGACTCGTCACAATTACAGTTTTCAGCCATTATGCATTGTTTATGATCCCCCAGGGTTCATTAGCTTTGTGTTAGTAATTTTGTTTACGGTACATGGGGACGTTTTTGCTGAAATTTGTGGAACGACATATTCAAATAAAAGCGAATATCACGCCATTCCAAATACTGATATTACTTCAGCCTGAAGTCAAACTTTCTGGTTTTATATTTCAATGAGGACATAAACGCGCAATTTCGAAGGAAGTTCAATTTTGCTTAACTTTCGCAGCTTATTCATGGATAATTGGTAATAATGTTGGCAGTTGCAGGCTTCAGCCAATATGAATCGTTTTTATTATTGCATTGATATTATTTAGTTTCTGGGGCTAACTTTTTTCACGGTGAATCGAGTACATTTTTGGTGAAAGTGTTGGAATAATATTTTCAAAATAAAAGCGTATGCCATGACCCCTCAGATGCTGATGTTACTTGAGTCTGGAGCCAAGCTTGTTGATTTTATGTTATTTAACACGAACATATTTTTCGGTTCCAAATCATCACGGAATCATACTCCAATCAGTTGCGCTCTCCTACGAATTATTGAGATGGGCGTTATAGTATATGGAAAGAAATATTCCACCAACCCACAATGCGGCTGATCTTTTTAAGGTCTAAACTCGCACCGGTATGAGGAGACTGCACTCACCTCCTGCGACAAGTGTCTTCCAGGCCTCTCCAGACTTTTTCTCCTCCTCAGTAAAGTCATCAGGCACCAGAATGCCCTCACCGATATCCACTGCGGACGCTCGCCTCCAATAATGGAATATGTCCTTGATGTTGGAACTGCCAGAGAGCAGGAGAAAGTCACGCCACTCCGAGTAATCAATCGACAGAGACCCATCCTTGTCCATCTTGCGCAACAACTTCGCAGCCTCTTTCTCCCCCACCTCGATGCCCAGCTCGCGCATCGCGGTTTGAATTTCTCCAATGTCCACCCGGCTGTCTTTGTTGCGATCAACCTGCTTGAAAGCCAATTTCAGCTGGGTTTCCGTATCCCGCACATAGTTCACAAACTCCTGAAAAGACATGGTCTGCTGGGTTGTATTGCCCTGTTTTCCATGCCCAACAATCCGTTTGGCGGCCTCCTGACCCACAGCGGCCTGTCGAGGCTCTGATCTGATAATGGAAGCCAGTTCAGTCACGCTGACCCGACCATCTTTGTCTACATCGAGTTTGCTGAATAGAGAGGCAATGCGTTCCCGATCCTCTGTAGTTAGTTGGGCATTGTCTGGCATTTTGGGAGACATATTTGAGCCTGCGGACGAAAAACTGCAGATTTTGATTAGCCGCGACCGCGCACCAGCGCTACGAAAGGCGTCCAGTAACAAATCAAGCTTCCCATTGGCCTATGTAGGCTGGCCAATCAGGACGTAGTGGCTGTCGCCTTGGCCGGTTGCCGG